GTGAACTAGTTTCCCCTTCTGGCGCACAGCCCGAATCACCCGTTACATTCGTCTCCCGTCTGAAACAACACATATCCGAACTTCGTGCGACACCGACCAGACGATCAACGCGAACAGAACACATCTCAGCCGATCTCTCTTCTACATCTTTTGTGTTTGTCCGACATGACGCAACGAGGAAACCCCTCCAACCTTGTTATGATGGCCCCTTCAAGGTTATCGAACGTCACTCCAAATACTTTGTTTTAGAGAGAAGCGGAAAGCGTGATACCCTCTCCATTGATCGCCTGAAACCTGCCTACATTGAAGCACCCACGACCACATCCAGCAATCCTGCTATCCCAACAACACCCACACCTACCCAAGATATCCCACCCGCCAACCTTACTCCTTCCACTATTCGTTCCGGACCTCGCGTCCGTTTCCCTCAGCACTTAGCTGATTACGTTGAAGTGAGCAAATTTGTGATTCGTCACTTTATTTATTCGAGCGTTTTCCCTTTTCACGGTCAACGCTCTAGTGGGGGAGTAGTGTGGCGTTTTGTACCTTTATTTTACTACCATTATAACACTACGTATTTCATCAATTGCATAATCGTTTTTTGTTTAAATACAAAAAGCTACAAAAAACGCGCACTTGTACAATTTCACATAATACAAGCGTGGTCACGTGCTTCGACTCTCCCTTCTGATTTTGCTCGCGCTTGCAGCGGTCATTCGCGAGTCTCATGTACTAACTCTGGTACCAAAACATTTCAGACATCTTCGGAATCTACTACATGTGGGAGCTGTTCAGAAGAAGACCTCTGGACCAACATAATTGGATTATTGTTTATTCGCTGACCTGGGCCAACGACGAACTATTTTAAAGAGAACAATTGTTAGTGAGTCTGTTCCGTCTGATCTCTTTATTTTTGTATACCCAACCTCACGTAATCATTTTAATTTCTTTGCCACACACTCCTGGTAAACTAACTTATTGGGTAGCCAGACCACTACACCAGACAGTGATTCGAGGATATCGGGAATGGTCTCTACTGTGGACGCAGGGTCGAATATGGCAAACACGGGGGGCTTCCACGTCAAGGAAACCAACTTCAGACAACATTCTACATCTCCGTAAGGGGACCACGTCGCACTGGACACCGGATAGACTTGACATACCTACGCAGTGGAAGATGCTAGATCCCAGATCAGCATGCTCGCAGCCCCAGGGACGAACAGAAGTGCGACGGCACCTTCATGAGGCGTCACAGTGGAGTCCAAAGCAGCAGGTGGTTAAACCGCCTTCTCAATGGGAGATGTCCGGAGGTCAACCATCCCTAATAACCGAACATCACATCATTTGGATGGATGCGTCACAGAGTCGGCGACTTGCGGTCTGGACCGGGCAGCAGGTGTATCAAGGCCATGGGGGCCCAATGTCAGAATGGTATATAAACTGGCGCCCAGCTACATATGGCCATAAATCGCTTGCTCCGCTTGCGGTCCTGGTGCCCACGCCATGCCGAATGCCACGAGTACGGTTTCGATGACGGTACGGCCGATTATGCCTAAGCCGAGTACCTCATCAACTGGATTATCGTCAAGTAAGATGGTTTATTGTTGTATAATGTTGGTTTTAGGTTCACAACGCCTGCGAAGTGTAAGATGCTGCTAAAAGACCTAGTGGATTCAAACCCAGACTTCAGGCCTTCACATCAACCAATCGGCGCTGCAGATAAATTTATTTCGCGGGGCAATTGTATGGGTTCCAATGAACAAGAGGTCAATTCTCGAATCGGGAACACCAAGACAGCTTTTGCCAACCTCTGACATCTATGGCTCCTGAATGAAGTCGGTTTGTCTGATAATTGCAGACTATGGACTGCGGTTGTGCGACCTGCTTCAAGAATCAGAGTAGTGTCCTCCACACGTAAAGGATGTATAGAATCTTTCAGATCTTGAGCACCCATTGCTCTGAAGAATTGGCCTGGTCTGGTGGGAACATCGTATTATCTTTGCCATATATTCCACGCTCACCCACTTCTCGGAACCAAAAACGTAGCATCTGAAACCAACATGCCCTTGGTACACGGCTTATGGCTGCTAAACCGACGGGCTGACAAAGGAATTGAATGAGTCCTGGACGAAGTTTCATCAGGCACACACAGCTACGTCTGTGCCACTAGCATTCGGCAAGAACGACAACTCATACGCTAAATAAACATGGGTTGCAGACAGGGATAGTTGTAGAGCACAACCACTTCAACTGTAGCCGAACAATGCACCGGGAGAGGCACAGCCCATGCGCATACACATATAGACCCGGAAGATCCGGTGAGTTGGTCTGGAGTTTCGTTCCCTTAATATCTGACAAACTACCAGTTCTAAGCGTACGGCTAGCATGATAGGTCCTTAACAAAGTCAGTTTATTGTATACCTGTTCAATGCGTTGGTTGGTTGGGAATGATGCGGGCTGTTTCCCCAGTAGTAACAACGTACTACCGTGGTTGATGGTACTTGGTGTTTTCAGGGACTACAGTGCCTGCAGAGCAACAAATACGCGTTTTCTAAATGCCTCGTTACCGATTCGTTAACGCCGACAACAGCAACGTCTGAGATACCGATGGTCAAAGACCTGAAAACCTTGCTTTACAAATATCCGACAGCATCACCCATACTGTGATCTGGCACCCGCCAGCCTTGAGGCCACAAGTGTCAAAAATTAACAAGCTTCCTTTGGGCCTTCGAGATTCGTGCACTGGCTCAAACAATCACAAACATCGGGACTAATTCAACTAACGATATACGCACAATTCTGCGCAACCTCCAAAGATAACCCCTTGAATTGTAACAGATACATCCAGAAGCTGCACGTTCTGAAGCTAAAAATTTGCAATCTGAAGGTATGACTCGCATGTCGAGCGATGGCATTGCGGATTCCAATTCATTCAACGAAGCTTTTGCTTCGTTTCGGTCTTCAAAGATGTAAACGATGTCATCTGCGTATTCCAGCTCGGATAGATGCTCAACAGTAACGATTTGAACACCGCCAATTTTAAAGATTATCCAGCTTTCTCCCGAGCTATTGTCGCCTTCGAGGGGACCAGACATTTGCGCGCTGCGTGAGTAAGGTTTGGTCGACGAGCTAACCACCGCTTGCCCAAATAAAACACAGGTGGGGCAGGTTAAGGAAGCCACTGGAAGGAGACTACATACTTTTGTTAGCATTTTTCTCATTTTGGTATTTTGCGCCCACATCGACCAAGTTGCCTCTGAAATCCATTTTAAACTAACGGGATGGATTAAATGGGTCCTGGGACCCTAGAGAGCCTGAAGTGCAACGTTGAGAAAGTAAAGAGCGGCGCCACGTCTTTCCCCCACTATGGGCCTCAAGCTGCACCTAGGCCGCTGGACAGCATAATCAAGCCCAATCAGGGTTGCTTAGGCAAGAGCATCGTGTATCAATGTATCACGCTTTGCGCAAAAAGGTCGAGCACCAACATAAGCGATGGGACGATACCTGACCTCTAAGTCTTGAGTGGGCTAAATTCTGACCAATTAGGGCGTCGCGGATTCACGGACTGATCGAAGTTATCGTTCTGCTGTCTGGACAAGGCTTCTGGTATCTCAAGGCCATAATGACCCTATCCAAGGATGGCATAAAAACCGGCGTGGAGCTATAGATGATCATTCATTACTTGTTCCGCTTGTGGCCCGGGTGTCCACAACATGTCAAGCGCCACTAGAACGGTATCAAACACGGCACGGCCGGCGTCAATTATGCCAAAGCCGAGTACCTCCCCTAGCGGATTTGTGTCATCTGACCTGGTTTTGTGGTTTATCGTCTTGAAGGTTTGCATAATATATCTTCGGATGTAGGCAACATAACTAGACAGATATTGGAGTGTCTTACCGGCCGTCAGTGTGGTTCCTTCACGGAATTCGCTTCTAAACTGCGAGAATTCCAACAAGGAACGGGAGCACGTTATGCCTACCGATACAGTTTACCAGCGGCAAAATGTGGGTAAAGTACTTGTGCCATCCGTCTGTTATGAATTCACGGTATACAAATGCGCTCATGTGTGTTCAAAATGGAACGCTAATTAAAATGGCCGTCGGTATGTTGATAATTGTTTGCGTAGTCATCCAATTAACTTCTGTTCAGGTACGCTGACTTCGACGTCCGGTGCTTCGTGCGTGTGTTTCACCACGACGGTCGTCTAGTAATTGCCCATTTGAACATAAAACATTTGCATGACCTGCGTAGGTCTGACTGACAAGTGTATGCTGCAAACCGGCATCCAAATGCCCAGCAGGAATACTTGGTGTTTATATCGTGGAGATGTTCTAAGTCTTCCAGGAGAATTCGCGAGTTTGTCCGAAAAAATCATGGACTAGGCTTGACAGATGATGGTTTGCGGGTCCTACCTGATAAACTGCGCGGCTTGAACAATGCCGTTTGTGATCTCCAGAGTGTCCGAGAGGCGTTGCGCCAATTCGGACCCGTGCCTGTTTCTGTTGGCGACGATAGCGGTTTGAATGTTTTGTCGTTTATTTTCGTGTGCCTGTGTGGATTGGTTGCGAAGCACGGTGATATTATCCAAGTGCATTGGACATGTCAGTGTAACAGAAGTGGTTATCACATGTGGCATGTAATGTGTTCTACTCCTTTATCCGAAATGAGTCACATGAATGCTATGATAATACAGTGCAAAATTTTGCAAGAATGGTGTCCCCGACGGATGCTGTTCGAACGACTGTAATAAACAATGATATGTCACAGTTGTGTAGCCTTAGGGCAGCCGTTATTTTTTGTTCTTTTCATGCATTTCCAAGCTCAAGAGCTGAGATTATTAGGTATAGAGAAGTGACCCAATCTGACAAGGAGGCCTTATTTGTAGGGCCCAAAAGAATGGTGCGCTGTAGTGAAGTAAGCGAGTGTAAAATCTATGCCACCAGCATCAGAGGCCGGAACCAGGAGTACTTGTCCTACCCCAGCGAGCATTGGATATTCGACCTCAGTCCAGGAGTATTTGTCCTACATTAGCGAGCATTGGTTATTTGACCTCAGTACCTGGGTGAAATATCCTTGGAAGCATACCGCGACCCCCGATAATGAAACAACTAACCGGGTCGAATCTGCTAGCAGGTACATCAAGTGAAGTCGTCCCTATTTCTAACCTGTTTTCAGGCAATAATCAACAAGGATGAGCAATCAGAAGCCAAATGCGGAAGACTCATGAGTGTCCCACATGTGCGTGGCCGGCCGGAAGTGTGACATTGTCATCTAATTTGGAGTGCTCGAACCAGCTAATGCCATGTGCTCAGGAACGGTCTAGCCACAACCATAGGAAAAGTGTGGATTTGATCAAAAGCGCACAATCCTACCCCGTTTTCGCAACTACACTCAGGTACAATTTGAAGACACATGAAGTTCTCTTGTTCTTTTACGAGCTTATGATTGTTGCCAAGTCTCCATATGGCTTTGGCTGTAGAGTGTCATGGTCAGCGGCCACTTTCGTTGGTTGAGTCCAGTAGGTGGCCGTTACCACTGAACGATGTTCAAACATCAGCCGCCGTTGCTGAGAATGATGTGTCGGTGCAGGCTGTCGCCAAAGGTAACGTTGCTCGAAATATCTCGTCGGATATTTACAAGGCAACTTTCCGCCTGTTTGTCTGATTTCAGTTCTTGCCCTCACTTCCTGTGGACGTTTGCTGACAATTTTTGAGCAGATAGTGTGCCAAGCTGTGTTACCCACTGGGAATTTCACGGGCGCATCCAGGTTGGCAATGCTGGTAGCATTATCCGCCACTTTGGTGAACTCTGCTGACGGGATATCCTCGCTAGCCTCAGAGGCGCCTGTGAGGTAAAGTGATCAACCTACACCCCCGACGTCACCACACATAGACGCGCCCGGAAGAGTCCTCTTCCGTTTTACGATGACAAGACGGCTGGGCTTGACTTGACTGCAGGATGATAACCACCTGCATTGCATAAAGGAACGTGAACACAATGTGCGAAATACCGCGGAGTATAGCACCGTAGCATTGCACCGTAAGAAGCCAGTGACGTCACATAATGACACTGATGTCTGTGGTGTCCGTAATTTAATACGGAGCGCTTGAATTTGGTCAATGATAGACTGGGTGAATTGCGGTGACCGTCGCGTGTTTTCGCAGTCATATTGGCGGCTCGCTTGACAGGCCGACGTTCTTCGGCCCTGTGTGTGATCGGCATGACCGGATTTCGCGGTGTGTTC